TAAGGCAATGCAGCAGATTGTTAGCTAAAGTTATTTCCTCTCCTTCCTGCAAACAGCAGTCTGTATTTCCCAGCCCCCTTGCTATTAAGTGTGGTACAGTAATAAAGTCGTAGCCAGGGAAGAGTGAGCAGGATTAGCAAGATTTATTTCCAAGCCAGGTCTGAACTTCTGGAAGATTAAAGAGGTGACACTCAGGTTTCCTATGCAAAGGTGGAAAGTTACTGGCAGACTGGATCTTTTACAGATTGCATGGAGCAGAGGCTTCTGGTTGCAGCCTTTGTCCCTCAAGTGAATAAGAAACCAATTCCTACTGTGCCTGAGTTACTGTATTTTGGATACACATTCATGACAATACCTAACATGGACAGGCACTAAGACAACCTTTCTAAATGTAGGGAACATGCTGATACCATCGAGGAAAAACTCCCAGCTTAAAATAATGACAGAATGTACAGAGAAGTACATTCCTTCCGCAGTCACATACTACCAATGCTTACACAGGAAGCTGAGAAAGTGAGGACATCAACACACCTATTCTCCAGGAACACCAGAGCATCTATCAGTCATTAAGATAGACAACTACTATAGCCAGTTGCCCAGCTAGGGATGGGGATATGTGATAGATAACCAGACACTGCAATATGTAGGCCTGGGTTACTTAAGTTACCACATATGGATTATTTCTCTGTGTTCAGCAAAGCCGCCAAGTCACTAATAACTGTAAATGCTAAGTTGTCTAAGATTTAGTCTATAGTGTTTTCTACTAGGTTGCATTTACTCATCTTTCCATGTTCAGAGCTAAAAGAGAGGAGGTGTTCAAGAAATGCTTCTCAGATATTACCAGGATAGGAATTCAAAGGAACTGAAAGCTTCTTTGTTTCACCACTCCCCATGACATTCATAATTACTTCTAGTATCATTCACCTCACAAATAAATACATTTTTTTCTGGGCAGTCATAATTGTATGCTATCCGTCAAATAATAAAACCTCGAGAGATGAGACATTTAGCCTGGAGATAAAGTGATATATTAACTTCTTGATCAAATGCCAGAGCTTACAGATGAAAATGAAACAGACATCAATAATTACAGCTTGTACTGTAGTTGGTTTCTAAAGCTCCAGGTTCAATGAACAAGTAATAACTGGACAAACACACCCTTCAGGAATGAGAGGTGGGAAAGGATTACCTCATTCCATACCTGTAACTGAGTAAGCCCCTCACTGCAATTTAACAAAGAGGTGGCCCACAAACTCAGGAGGTGGCAGGCAGCAATTGCTCAGGTGGTACAAGACATGGGAGAAACCTTCCACAAGAACATTTTGAAGTGGGTGGAGGCACTGCCCCTGACTTTCCCTTTCATTCCTGAATATTATCCCCCTAATAAGTTTGATCTGAATGTTAAAGACATACACTGAACACCCAATGCTTGAAAATACCATCTCACTTGGAAATTTTTATTACTTTTTCTTGAATTTAAAAAGGAATTACTAATACCAATAAAATGTAATTATGTCTCAGTTAATTCTTAATTTTACAGGCAGTCTGAAAACAAAGTACTGTGTGGCATTTCATAAACTGCCCCACCAGAGCCAGTAGCTGGATTCCAGAGATCAGATTTGCCAAAGCCAGCAGTCAAGAAGCTACTCAGGGCACTGCTGCGGTTGAAGACACTCTGGCAACAGTAACACTCACCTGCAGAACATTAACCAGTGAGCAAAAGAGAGAGATGGCAAAGAGGCAACATACTTCATTCCAACCCCAAGGAAAGAGTAGTGATGCCTAAGTTTCTTTATGGCCATCACAACCTGCCACACTGTCTTGTTCTTCACTGAGGTCAAGGATCCCTTCCCCAGTCAGTCTGCTGATTACAGCTATAACACTAACATGTATGTAAGGAATTTTTTTCTTTCAAGGTGGGCAGTATAGAGAAGAAATTAAAAATACAGACTAAAGAATACAGCTCTGTGTATTTATCAAAACCTATGGAGTACTCAATCTCCAAGGTGGTAAATGTTTACTTTAGTATCTTCTAAGGTTAAGAACATATATGCTCAAGGCTCACTGAACTTATAGAAAAGGGAGGTGAAACAAAGAAAAAGCCAGGGGATGGAGAAGAGTGCTATAACATGCTATCTTCTAGACTTGAAGAACAGTGCACATATGAACCCACGAGGCCTGCACAAGATCAAGAAAGTCGACATTCCAACATAGATGGGAAGGAATTCATGAGGCCCCACCCCTAGCTAAGAGCTATTGGCAGGTGATTGATGAGGACATTTCTTTAGGGTAGTGATCATTTGTAGGTTACCCACGCTCTGGTGGAAGGAATCACACCCATATGTATGTAGGCAGCACTAATAGGACTTAGTAGGTTATCACCATCACCATCATCTTTAAGTACATGAAGGTAAGGGCAACATGTTGGAGAATGGGAGGGGAGAGTAAAGGTGGATATGATCAAGATATGCTGCACATACACATGAAACTGTCAAAGAACAAAAGTATTCAAACCACGAAAAAAGGTACACATACACATTAATAAAATGCCTCAACACGTCACTGAAACTTGGAGCCACACTGAGCTTGCTAGCATAAAGTTAATTTATGTTTGAAAACTAAAAATGTGTTCTGATTATTCAATAACAAAATTATATCAAGTGACCTGAGGAGATGGCTCAGTGCTGCAAGTTAGAGGACTGGAGTTCAGATCCTGAGAATGTATGTAAAAGTTGGGCAACCATGGTAGCCTTCTGTAATTCCAGCACTCGGGAAGCAGAGACAAGACACACACACACACACACACACACACACACACACACACACACACATACATATACACATACAAACATATACACACATACAGAGTCAGTGGGGAAAAGCACATAAAATGTGCTGCCCTGTGTTTATAAAGCCCCCAAGTTTACAGAGTACTTTCAGGTCTGTTACTAGGTTAGAAGGCACTGATGCCACAAACACCAATCTATATTTGCTTTTGGAAAAAGGTGGTTCATGTGTACATTTTCTCTAAATATTGCTATTTATTTTATCAAAGTCAGAGCTAAGACTCTAGTAGAGTGTAAATTTTAAGCCAATGAATAAACAGTTGGCTTTTAAAAATATTAAGTTGACATGCAAAGTGTTTTTACCCCTGCCAGAGACTAAAAATAAAGGCAATTTCTGCCAACACACACACACACACAAAAAAACAAAACAAAACAAAACAAAACAAAACAAAACAAAAAAACACTTGAATTGTATCAGTTGGCTCTGAATTTGATGACCACATTCCAAAATGGGACCGGACATAACATCAATTTTCTTTTCCTAAACCTTATTATTGCTTAAAACCAAAAAACAAACAGACAAACAAACAAAAAACCCACCACACTTGCCATCTGTTTGAAAAATCAGCCTTGTGTAATTAAAACATATATTTCCAAATGCATAGCATCAATCTTTTAATCTTTTCCTAACAAAGTGAATGTAGACATTCTGAAAGTAATACATTCATATTTTAAGAATTTTAATTTCTTGGGCCGGGGAGATGACTCAGTGGGTAGCAGCACTTGCTGCACAGCAGGAGGACCCAAGCTTGGATCCCTAGAACTCCTGTAAAAAGCGGGGCATGGCCACGTGCAGGCCTATCACCCCAGTGCTGGGAGTGCAGAGATAAGAACAAGGCTTGATGGGCTCCCCTCACTCTAGCTTCAATGAGGCCCCATCTACAACGAGGTACTAAGTGCTAAAGAACACCCAGGTGTGCACCAGCACACACAAACACACACACACACAGACACACACACACACACACACACACACACACACACACACACACACAGACACACACACACAAGGATTCAACTTTCTCATCGGCTGTAAATAACCTAGTTACTACAGGACTTCAAAGATAGTTTAGACAAAAGGTGTAAGCGGTATCAGATTTTAAGTATGGGGTTTACAGCTGTTACCAAAAGTTCCAATGACACTTTATTTCTGTTCGAGGCCTGCCCCTCTTTTATCCGCCTGCCCCAAAACACAGTGCTTGAGATTTATGATCAGTTGCAAAAATCAGAGTTTAGCTGCTGATTTACAGTCTTGGCTAAGGTATTTAACTGTCATCAGAACTAATTATAGCAAGCTTGAGATTATATATTCAAACTCTCCTTTTGGTGAAAGAAATAGAATGTTCTGCTGAAATCAGAAACATCCTGAGGGCTCCTAAACAAGAATGCACTACCAACTTTACTTCTCAAAACCAGTGCAGTAAAAGCTCAAAATTACTGTTCTTCAGTAAGCTGTTCTGGCCTCAAGTACTTAGACAATAAATCATGTTACATTAATGCCATACCAATGGCCTAAAACATATTAATCTCACTCAACAGTAACTGACAATCACATTACTAATCTGATTCAAGCATTCTGGAGGTAGTAAATGAACAAGTTGAAGCTTCAGGAACCATAGTTATTACTGATCCACAAAGAACCCTTATTTCAATGTGGCCATGACTATACTCCTTGGGCAACACTGACACTCTAAGAATAATGTTTTCATTTTATTGTTCTAATGAATAAAATATCTAAGTTAAATTAAAACTCATCCCAAATAAAACTAATACCAAATAAGAGACCAGCAGATTAAACAAGCAAAAGCACTGTGCCGCTTTCTCACCCAATCCTTCCTTCCTACTTTCTGGCCACAGAAATATATTTTAAAACTTCCTGCAATCCATGTCCACAAGAGGAGGGAGTTGAGAGATGTAACTTTTCTTGCCAACTGAGTCCTCTTCTCTGACCACCCTCCCTCCTGACTGTTCTCCACTCAGTTAAACTCCGCTGGTTAAGAGCACTGCTGCTCTTCCAGAGGATCCAGGCACCCACATGGTATCTCACAACTAACTATAACTCCAGTTCCAGGGGATATGACACCTCCTTTTTGGCCTCCATGCGTATCAGGCATGCACACAGTACAAGAGACATACATGCAGGCAAAACACCCATACATATAAAATGGAAATTTATTTTTTAAAAGCAAACACAAACCAGAATGGGCACCAAGAGGTAAAGTGCCACACTGGTGTGGGTGAGGAGGGCTTTGCTGATTAGACTGAGTCAGAGGCTCCACAACCTGACCCTATATGCCAACAAAAGTTACGAGACCTAGGTGAATACAAGAAAACAGAAAAGTAGCATGAAGGCCCAAGGAGAATGCATGTTCTGAGGCCTTACATACGAAACTATTCATACTAAGAACTTTCTCAAAGATACTACATCTTATGTGTAGTGGGTGGAGAAAATATTCCTATACTGTTAAGCATACGCTCACTCACTAAGAGTGTGAAGTAGGTTACTATAAGTAAACAGTACTCAGGAACATTTATAAATGGATACCTTTTAAAGGTATGAAGACAAGTGGGTTAGATATCCAATCTCCTAGATCTTGCTTTTTGTACACTGGTTTTTCTTAATTAAATGGAAAAAAGATTTAACATTTAGACTTTTTTTTTTTTTCTTTGAGACAGGGTTTCTTTGTGTAGCCTTGGCTGTCCTGAAATTCACTCTATAGACCAGGCTGTCCTGATCTCACAGAGTTCCACCTGTCTCTGTGCTCCAAGACCACCAGGCGACATTTGGACTCTTAAAGAGCAACAAATTATTCACTTATTCTTTATATAAAGAAAATTTACGTATCACCATAAGTTAATGAAATTGTTACTGCTTTAAGTATAAAAATAATGTAATTATGATCTAATTTTTCGCAGTGTCCACATTTAGTCTTGCCAGTTATCAAATTACTTTTCAAAGCCTCTTCCCATTAGGACTGTAAGGACAATGACTTCCCAGGTATTATAGTTCTCTCTTTGGCCTCATTAATTCATTCCATCTGTTAAGGAGTAGTGGGAGAAGAGGTAAAAACAAATCCAAAGTTAGGATATCCTGAGTTACAACTATTCGTCTAACACAATCAGACCATTTTCTTTTCAAAGAACAATCGTAATTTAAAGAATAACATGGTTGAGAGACATTTAGAAAGACATTTTCTAGGCAAAGCTGAATTTAAATCATTCTCCAGATACACTATGTCCACTTCTTACTATAATTATTTCCACTGACATTACACAAAAATTAATCAATTGCTTTTACTATGTGACTACAAAAAATTAATTCTACTGCCTCCAAAAAGAATCAATAATTACTCTTATAGCATTAAAGTAATTAAAGTCATTTGTAAAGTAACAATTGAGAATTTTTCTATTTATGACTAATCCATTATAAACAAAAGCCATTCTGAAAAACTCAAATTTTAGAAACAGTTGCAGTAATGCTAAGAACAGATAAGGAAGTACAAGGACCTCACAGGCTATACTAGGCCAGACAGATGAAACACAAAATTAATTTTAAACTGTAGGCTTATACAAATAAATAAAACCTTATCCTTTTTTCTTGTATATATGCTTAAAATTTCTTACACAAATATAAAAATGTTCATTTCCTTCACAAACTTCTTAGAAAAAAGACCACAAAGAGTTTATAATCAACTCCCAAGTTTTAGGCTTATCTTTTTCTACCCTTATCAATTTTCTGACATTTTTAACCTAAGCAGAAAAATCTTTCTGATAAATGAAGCATGCCAGCCTATCAATAAATGTCCTGAAGAACTCTGCAAGGCTACATATATCCCATGTTGCTTTTAGTTTCCCATCTCTTCTTTGCTTCAAACCTAAAATGAAGAACATAAAAATCTCAATTTATTTCTAAAATAAAATACTCTACTAAAATAACGTTTAGTAAGTGACCAAAGTGTCTCAAATTTCACAAACACCACAGGCTGAGGAAATGCTGCCAGATTTACAAATTTACAACCTCATAACTATTCCACTGAGACATAAAACATTAGATAAGTGGATTCGATGAATAAGCAGACTTCCTGAAATTCCTACCATGTAAATAGAATCATGACTTTTTTTTTCAATTTTTAAACATTATTACTACTTTACATGCCTGAGTGTTTTGCCTGCAAGTATGTCTGTTTACCGTATGCATGCCTGGTCCCCATAGAAACCAGAAGAGGGCATTGAATCCCCTGGAACTGCACAGTTGTGAGCCACCATGTGTGTGCTTGGCACTGAACCCCAGTCTTCCTGACAGCTAAGCCATCTCTTCCACCTCAGGACAGAAGTCTTAAGTGAACTTACCCCCACGCCAGTTTCTTCTTCTTTCGAGCAGCCTGTGAGTTTTCAGCCTCCTTTTTGGCTTTAACAAATTTATGGCAGGCAATTGCTTTGGCAATTTTTACACCGAGCTAAGAATTATGGAAGAAAAAAGGAAACACATGTTAAAAGAAATATTCTAGCTAATATAAGAATCATAATAGTACAAAAAAATTGGGAGCACATGGTTCAGGAGCTGTGTCTAAGAAATAAGAAATCCTATGCTCCGTCCCCTTGAACAAAGCATTACAAATACATAGGTATTTCCCTCCACTACTCAAAGATCCTCTACCCCAGTTGCACCATCTCCTGGATGGAAATCCTTCCCAAACTCAGACCCTTTGAGGGTCCACAAAGGTAGTAATGAGGCCCTTCAAGCTATCTCAGCAATTCTGTAGGCTGAACAGGAATTTACCCTGATAAGGCTGCAAACAGACTGACAGAGACATCAACTTTCTTTGCTCTGGGCTAGAATTACAGCAACTCAGTATGGTCACACCAGTTATCTCATGCTGATCAGAAGCTCTGATTGGCAGTCACAGATGGGATTAATGAAACATGGGGAAGCTAATTACTACTTCATAAATGCACTCTGCATGATGGGCAACAGCTTTTAAGTCTCTGAGAGAGAAAAGAATATAAGGGGAGTCAGAAAGTAAAGAAGCTGGACTCCAGGACCTAGCTGTTCCCTGGGCAGCAGCCCTGTTCATGCTTCCCTGACTGCTAAATGCTGGCCCTCCAAGACTCATTTAGCATGAACCCCAATCCAGATGACTTCTTTAGCTCAGCCTGTAAGTTCTTGCTTCTGTATTTCTTTGCCAGGTTGCAAAGTATTTCCCAGGAAGCATCCCCAGAACAGCAATGCCAATACATAATAAAGAGGTTCTTAATGTAACTATCCATCCATGTGTATGACTAAGATCCATTAAGAACTGAGGTGAAGTCAGGTGGTATGGTGGTGGGACACACCTGGAATCCAGCAAAGGGATGCTGCCCAGTGAAACAAAGCTGGGCTGCAATAATGAACATTCAGGGCCGCATAGCCAGACTCTGTCTCAGAAACAAAGAAAGCTTTAAATTATCAAAGGCCTTCAATATTTCAGATGTTTCTGGGCATTTCTATTCCTTCATTAAACTAAACACATATTAGAAGACAGGCAGACTCGTGAACAGGAAACATAGGAAGCCATTCAAATTAGCCTATCAAAACCCGAGTTTCAGAGATTTGCTTGGCTGACAGCCTGTGAAGGCATGGTTGGAAGTGAAGAGCTCATGTGCAAGATGAAGTCTATAATGCTTGACACATCTCTCAGCTGATCTTGGGCAACACCACCTCTAGAGCAAGTGGTAATCAAGATCTGTCTGGAATTTACAAAAGTGAGAAAAAGAGACCTGGTTTTTCAGTTCAGGAAACAAACACTCTTGTCTTTTTCTCTCTCGATGGAAGAAAAGTAACAATCAAACCAAGGTGCTGATATGGTTAACAGCAGTAAGGCCACTGAAAGGACCAAGTAGGATCTGAAAATCCACTTGACACAGCAGAGCAAACTCAGCATCTTCTCAAAATCCAAACCAATTCTAGTTGCACAACTGTGCAAGAACATTTACTCCATAACCTTCATGAAGGCACAGATGCTTGCTTCTGCCAGCCACTGGAGACACAGCACTAAGCCATATAGGACATCCTTTCACACAATGGATGAGAAAGAGATATGGCTGCCTCCATGCTGGCTTTGTTCTGTTAACTCTCTTCTTTTTCCAGTTCTTTTATCACAGAAAAGTTCATCTAAGTTAACCTCCCCTTTCCCTGCAAAATAAGGCGAAGAACTAGTCAGGGAGATGGGTTCCCTGGGTAAAATACTTGCCATACAAGTGTGAGGACACAAGCTCAAAATCTGCCCCCGCCCCCATAAATCCAGGCATGGCAGCAAATGCATCTCTAATTCTGTTCCTATGGGGAATATGGGAGGCAGAGGCAGGAGAATCCCCAGAAGCTTGTAGGGCACAGCAGGGAAGGGCACGGCAGGAAATGGCAGGGCAGAGAGCCATGACACAAAACATCCTGTCTCAAAAAAGATGCAAAGTGAGGACCTGACATTCAAGATTGTTCTGTCTACACCTGTATCATACATAGTACATAGTTACGTACACACACACACAGATTAAAAAAGACTAATCAAGGGCCTGGTAACACTACATCTCAGAACAGAAAACTCAAAGAAAGTTCTGTGGCATCATTTTTCATTAAGACGGAATTCCCATCCACTGAAAACCTATGTACTTGTCATACATGAAAAAAAATTAAGTTAGAACCTGCTGCTCGGGTTAGTGCAATGGCCAGTACAGTATCTATCAAATCCCTAAATATCAATGACTTCTGTTTCAGTTTAACCTGAAGACAGCAGGGCCCTCACACATCTTGTGGTGCCAGTATCTCCTTATGTGGCAGAACTGGAGGGTTTCTTACTGGCTCTTAAAGTAACACAGACATTGTTTCTGATCAGAGTTAATCACATAGCTGCAGCTAAATGCAAAGGGACTGGGAAGTGTGTGGGTAAAACTGGACACATGGAGAGCACTAAGTTAACCTAAGAAGCTGTCTTCTGTCACAAAAAGCAGCTTGTGACCTAAGTTTGAGATGCACGACAAGATGCCAACATTCACTTGGATGATTTAATCTCTTTCCTGCCTCATTCCCTCAATATCTGTATTTCTCTGTTAATTCCATTCCTACACATTACAAACCAAATATAAGAATGATGTATGATACAGTTTACCAACTCCCCCAGGTCAAAGTCCTATTTACCTCTCAGCTACTTTTCATGATACTTAAACTCAGCCTCTACCTTGGGTAAGAAACAATATAATGTGAACCATATCTGCTCTATACCATTAGCATGAGTGAAAGCTGTTTTCCCAAACTGTTGTAAAATCAAGCTGTAGCTCTGTATTTTTAACTTACTCAAGTTCCTAATCTGAGTTCCCCAGATATAAGACAGACAAGCCAAGGAGCACCTTGGTGTTCCAATGGACTACTCTCCATGCAACCACAGCCAAATAGAAATGCTTCCAGTGTTCCTACAAAGCTAAAAATAAAACCAAATCCAGAACCACCGGCATCATGGCAAAGTTACAGAGACCACTATCAAGACACAGTAGAGACTTTTAGAAATTCTTCACACTGCATAGTAGGCTCCATCACTTTGTGAACTATGTTAATAAACTACCAGGTTCATAGGTGCACTTTCAGACAATGCTCCTAAAATGGCGTACTATCTACCTACTTTAGACCATGGCTAGATTAAATGAAATGTTCTTCAATCAATAAACATTAAAACAAGGTTGTTCCATGTACTGTGGTTTTTTTTTTTTTACAAAAAAAAAAAAAAACTTATGATTTGTAATGATGAAAATCCATAGTAGTTTTTGACCTTCGAATGCAATGTGTTTCACTATTTCTGTGGAGAAATAAATGCAACAAAGATATCTGGAAATACAAAAGGATAATAAGGCCTTCAATGAAGAGGCAGTTGAGAAGAAATGTATTTCTTCAGTCAAGATGACAAACTTGAGTTTCAGAATATAAAAGAATATTGTGCTGTATTTCTCTATGACAAACAAATAAAGTAGGCAGACAAGAATCACCCTTTCATTTCTATAAAAGAAAAATGCACCTTCCTGCCCAATGTAAACATCCCAAAAGCTTGGTCAATGGCTTTTATATTAAATAAAAAAATAAATAAATAAAACAGTTTGGGGTCATCAGATAACTATAGTAACACAATGTGAGAAGACTTTTTAATGAATAAAAATACATACAGAATTTCTTGTATGTGTAGCCAAAGTATCAGCATTTTCCATATAGAACATCCAATATTTTGCTGCATTTTAATTAAGGTATCTAAACATTATCACAAAGAACTGCAAATTGGTCAGAGCATGCGGTAAGGAAAATTAAGCTCTAAAGGCTTTTTATCACCATATTTCAGGAACCAAGGGTGTAAAATGTTCTAATTTGGGATATATTAAAAGCCATAAAAGGTCTTTCAAAAAGATTAATGGTACTTTGCTTGGATTTAAGATAAGGGCTTTAGCTGGTTGGAAAAGCAGGGCCCTGGCTGGACCCTTGAGGCATTCATCTTTACAGCCACTTGGAAGATTTGTAAAAGCGCCTGCACAACCTCAAGCAAATGCACCGCGACATTTTTTTAATTCCTTTCAATTTTACAGGTTCAGTGTGTGTAAATCATATTGGGTCGTAAAACAGATACAATGGCACATCCTTATAAACACAGTGCAGGTTTTAAAAAAAACCTTCAAAATCAAGTTAGTACCTCTTGCAAATGTCATAAAGTTTCCTGATAATCACTGGAAGCATCTGATTCCAACAGCTTAATCTAGTGCAGCTACAAACTACTTATCCATTTTATAAAATATTTTAGTCATCTCAAAATTACTAGCTTGTAACAGAGTTATGAAGTTTTCCTCTCTTTTGAACACTTTCAAGGCACTTATTTAAAAATACCAATTATCATACTTTAACTTTTTATACAATAATAGGTCTCTATGAAAAATATTTATGCCATTCTCTTTTGTTCTTTAATTAAATGAAAACAGATGTTTTCTGAAGTAAAGCGGAACCATTACTGGAGTACTTAAAGTGTTAAGGTCTTTAATTTTTATATCAGTTTGGTCGACAATTCCTGATTGTCTTTACTCAAGCTCAACATTAATGTCAAGCAAGTTACCTAGGAGACGAAAGAGATCAAAGAGACAAAAAACCCTCCAATGTCTGATTAATCAAGCCTGCAAACAGCTTATTTCTTTTAGCCTGCATGCAAGTATGAAAATGAGATTCTGGGAGCCGAACATTGTGCAGATTTGTTCATTCTTATCAGAACAAAGCCAGCGGCAGCTTATTTCATGGATCATTGGCACTGTCATCAGCGCTACACAGAACGGGTGACAGCTCCTCATTTTGAAGCTTGAACAAAATTAGCAAAAAGTCGGCACAAATTAGCCTCTCATCTTTTTAGTAATATGACATTATTCATTTACTTTTTATCCAATTTTTAATTTTTTCCTTGTCAGC